ACTGCTCGCGAGTCATCTCGATCTCGCGTCTCAGGCAGCGCTCGTAATCGTCGAACGTCAGCGTTCTCGCGACGACGCTGCTCCTAACGCCCTTGCTCTTCTTAGTGTCGCCTCTACCCTCGACTCGCAACGCGTACATCTTCGCTCTGAGTCCGACGAACTCGAGCATGAGAGCGCCGTTGTTCTCGTCCTTCATCAGACCGAGAACCTTCTTATTCGCGCGCGGCACGCCGTAGGGATTGTCGACGGCGTAATCGCTCGTGTCGAATCTATCGACGTCGCGCTTCATCCGCTCGTACGCGTCCTCGCACTCTACGCTATAAATGAGACTGTCCGTGTCGGTGTACAATATCTTACACTTATCGCCGTAGAGCGGCGACATGTATTCGTAGTGAAACGCGTACAGACGAATCTTGGATATATCGAGAATCGACATGCCTACGTAGATCGGTTTGTCGATCTTCGCCTCCAATTTGCGCAATTCCACGGCCATGAGATTCTCCGAGAATACGCTTCTACTGTGAAAATTCGGCTTGGAGATGAGCGCCTCGGCTCCGAATCGACCGTCCCATCGGGTCGCGAGTCGAACGTCCACGCGATTGCGCACGTTCTCCATGGTCTTGCCGAAGACGGCGTTGTTCATCAACTTGTACAGATTCTTCTCGAAATCGTTACTCGCGTTAGTGCGTAAACGCGTGTTAAGCTCCACGTATCCGCGTAACCACGGCGACTGCGAGAAGCGCAGCGCGCGATGAATCCTAGTCAGACGCAGACCGTGACGAACGCACTGCTGCAGATTGCGATAGTGCGTGACGTATCGGCGCTTATCGTACAGCGTGGCTAGGAGTTTGCTCTGCCGCTTCCCCGGCGGCTTATCGCGCGTGGGACAAAACGGTAGATCGGCGTGGGCGTCGTGCGCGTCGGCCGAATAGTCGAGATCGACCTCGAGAATGTAGCCGACGGTCGAGTCCTCCGTCACGGACATCACGTCGAGACTCTCGAGGTCGTCGACCCACTCGAATCGCTCGTACGGCAACGGCTGACACATCGCCCAACCGTACAGATTGTTGATATCGAGATACATCAGATAGATCGACGGTCGCGACGGATCGTACGCGCTCATGTACTTGTTGTTAGCGCGAGCGTATCTGTTGGAGCACTGACTCAGACCGCCGCGTATTCCGCGTTCCACGAACATCATCATATCGATATCGGTGAGCAGTTCGAAACGGACCCCCGTGTACTTGAGCATCGCGTCCCACGTGTATCCCGGCAACGTGAAGTAGTACGCGGGATCTAAACCGTAACTCTCCAAACAAGCGGCGCGAAAATTTTCGAACACGTCCGCGAGCAGAAGAACGTCGGTCTTCAGATAGAGATCGCTGTACTCGCCTAGATTTTCGACGCCGAATCGCTTCCAGACGCGCGTCGCGTGCGCGTAATCGCTCTCCGATACGGTGTCGCCGGTCAGAGAACTGTAGAAGGACTCGCGCGGCGGGAAACGCGTCTCCCGCAATCTCTCGACGCTGTCGACGTACTCGTACGGAAACACGCCCTTGCGCGTGAGAAGCCGGAAGTCGTCGTCGGAGAGATCGCGAAACTCGCCTCGCGCGATCGTCAGTTTGCTCTCGTCGAGATACGACGCCAGCTTGTTGAGACCGGCGCCTAAAAACTTGAACGAGTCCACGAATCGTAATTTGACGTATCTGGAAAGCGCGACGTTTCCCCCGTCTTCCTCCGCCGCCTCCGCGCTATCTCGAACGGTCTTAGAGAAAGCTATGTACGATTCCTTCGTCACCGGCAACAACTCGACGCTGCCGGGATACGCATTAGCCACATCCTTGATAATGAAGTGCGCGTCGTAACCCGATAGATTGTGAAAGAATACGGGTATAACGTAGGGGTCCTTGTAATTCAAATTACACGCGGAATGCGCCGGACCTCTGAAACGGCCGGTCAAGTGACAGTGATCGCGCACGCGAACGTCGTCGGCCTCGAACGGTCTCTCGCAGGCGTGACAGCGCGACGCGCTCGCGAACGTCTCCCGCTCGTCGGACGTCAGATCCGCCATCGGTACCACGCCGTCGAGGGCGACCTTCGCGCGAAGCGCCAGATCGCGCAGCTCGCGCACGAACCACGCGACGCAATCCTCGCCGCGATAAGATCCGTACGCCGACGCGGCGTCGTCGAAGGAGCAACGCGTGTAATAGGCCACGCTGTGAACTCTGTGATGCTGAACGATCCGCGTATTCTTGGTTCTCCCGCCCTCGTCCCCCTCCTTCCTCTCCAACGCGCACTCCAGATCGGCGTACACCGCGAACGGAATTCGCTCCTTTCTCGAATGATGCTCGAACTCCAGCCACCTGTCGTCCTCGCCGGGAAGAACGATCGCGCAATCGTTCAGCTTGCCGCAATCCTCGCTGTGCGCCGACAGCTTCTCACTCGTGCGAAAGTAATGCATGCATCTGAAAGAAAGTACGAAATAAACGCTAGCTCGATGTCTCGCTCTCGCTCGCCGAGATCGAACGCTCACCGGTCGCACACGTGCGTCCTGTGCTGTCGCTTGCTCAACTGCGAGCCGATCAGACGAGACAGATCTCGAATACAGGCGAAATGTCCGACCGCGTTACCCTCGCGCGTCGCATCGCTCAGATACAGCAGATTGACGTGTCTCTCCCTCTTTCGATCCGTCAGACGAAGAGGGACGATGCGAATCCCGCCGTCGCCGTCCTTCCCGCGTCGTCTCTCTCCGACGGTGTACGCGTTCACCGATATATCGTTCAGACGCTCGAACCGTCCGATTCCGTTCAGAGTCATAGGTAACTTCGAGCCCTCCAGATTCAACACCTCGGTGTAATGCGGATATCGCGAGCTTCTCTCGCGGTGCTTATCCACGGGATACAGAGCGGCGACCACCGACCACGCGAAACACGCCTCGTCGTCGTCGTCGGATCGCACGTTGATCACCGCTCTCTTCGTTTGAATCTCTCGCGGTACTCGCACGTGGCACCCCGCCCGCATGGGATTGTACACGTTCACGTTCACCGTTAGATCGAGTATGCGCGACAGGGCCCATCCGCTGTCGCGCTCTTGAAACTCCTCCAAAGACGCGACGGTATCGCCGACGACGCGAGTATCGTACCACTCGCGCAGATCCGTCGTGGGTAGAAGGGGATGGTTTCTCGTGGCGATCGTCTTAACGGCGATTTTATCGCCCGACACGAATTCTCCGTTGAACGTCGTGTTCACTTTAACGCTGCGATATCGGCCCATGACGTCGCGCACGCGGCGGAGCACGGTGTCCCTCGCGTCCTCGAGAAATCTCAGAGGTTCGATGTAATCGAGATTTATCACAGCGCCGGTCAACACGCGTCTCTTGAAAGCCGTCTCGACCTCGGACCACGAGAATCCCTCGCGCGACTCGACCCCGCTACCGCCGTCGTCCTCGCGTCTCGCCACACCCGCGCCCTCCCGCTCGAAACGTCGCCGTAGATCGTTCCTCGCGCCGATCACTAGCAGGATTCGGGCGACCAGAGAGGTCCTCGCCCCCGTGGAGATTCGACGACTCGCGTCCAGACACCTCTCGCGCAGAGTCGCGAGACACTCCTCGCATCGTCGCGTCCACGCGCGATAGTCGTCCGTCGTGACGACTTCGCGCGCGCTCTCCAGCGTCCGGCGCTCTTCCTCCCGCATGGTCGCATCCTCTTCTCTCCCTACGGCGATTCGTCGTCCTCTCTCTCTCCTCCCCGCGAGGCCTTATCCACAGCGTCTCGCCTCGCGAATCCACCGGCAGCGAAATCCCGCGACGCGTCCCGGTCGCCCGCGTATCTCCGGCGTCGAATCTCGCCGCTCTTCCGCTACACACCAGGACCGTCTCGATCCACAGCTCCTCGCGCGCCGTCTCGAAGACCGATCGCCCGCCTCGTCGAATAGGTCGCGACGCTCCACGCGATCCTCTCCTTCAACACTCGAACGTAGCGATCGATCGGTGGATCGACGCGCTCCTCGCTCATGACAACTCGCGCCTCAAGCGTATCAAATCCACGCCGCAGAACATATTTCGGCGGAACGGATACTCGCGACCGCTGTCCTCGCGATCGTACGTGTATCGCAGAGTTCTACCCGCGTTATCCTCGGGCACGCGGATCTCGCAGCGCGTGAGCGGTGAGAAATATCGAACATCCGGTTGGGGATAATCGAACGAGTGGAATTTCCGACCCTCTGGATACGGATAACCCTTCGGGTACTTCGACCTCGGATACTTCGCGTCAAACCATCTGTCTAGTTTAACGTTGAAAACGAGGGCTCTGCGACTGTTGGCCAGAGCCGTCTCGATCCACAACTCCTCGCGCCGACTGTGCGTTTGAACGGCTCTTCTCAGATGATACGTCGCGACGTTCCATCGCGCGCTCTCCTTCAACTCGAAGTTGTCGTCGTCTATCGGGCGCGCCAACTCCTCTTCCCTTTCCGTCGCTCTACCGTCGACGGTAGAGACGACTCCGGCGGAACTCGCGCCGCTCATACGCGCGCCTCGTCGTTCGCGAACCTATCTTCCCGAGAAAACGATCGGACGGACCGATCGCGACCATCCGCGAGGTGTGTGCGCGTCTCGAAACGACCGTCGGCGTCTTTATACTCGCTCGTTCGAGCGACGACGACGACGACGTCGCGCGAGCGGGAAAAAATTTCTCCGCGGTCGCGCGGTTTTCGCCTTCGGAAACGACGAATCCGTCGAAATACCGCATTCGACCGGATTCGGCGCGCGCGCGTCTCTCGCCGCTGCGCGTTCGAGAGAAAGAAACGACGACGGAAGCGTCGCCGCGAATATCCCTCTCGTCTTAGCGCGACACGCTCGAGAGGAAGGAACGGCGACGGAAGCGTCGCCGCGAATATCCCTCGCGCGCGAGTAAATCCTAACGGAATCTCGCTCCTCTCTCGTTATCGCGCTTAAAAAAAAAAAAAGGAGAGATAAGCGGCGAGTCCGAGAACGCGCGACGACCGCGATATCGCGCGAAACCGCGATATCGCGCGCGCGCGCGCGACGAGGTCCTCGTCCGATCGACGCGCTCTCCGTCGATCCTCCGGAACGAAGGATCGACGACCACCGTCGACGAGAGAGAAAAAGCCTCTACTCGCGACGTGTTCTCCCGATACATAGTACGCTCGTTTTTACGAAACGCGCGCACATTTAGGTTAAAATTCGAGCGATGCGCTCGCGCGCGGTGAACTCGCGTTCGACGTCTACGACGAGACGAGGCGAGAAACACCGCCGCGCTCCGCGTGCTCTCCCGATACATCGCGCGCCTTTTTTCTTACAAACGGACATATGAAAAAATATTCGAATTTACATTCGAGCGACGCGTAAGACGCGATGAAAACGCTCGAGACCGCTCGAGACCGCTCCCTCCTCGGCGCGTCGAAACGACGCGAGCCTGAGGAGGCGCGTATGCGCGGTATAAATATTGCGTTAATATTATTTAAATATCGTATAAATATTGTATAAATATTATTTAAATCGCACATTTTACATTACGTCTCTTCCAGGGCAGCGTCGAACACATCCGCTCTATTATTAACGCCTTATCTCGCGCGACGCGCCCGACGCCGGGGCGATCGCCGCTTATCGCGCGCGCCTAGCGCGCCGCATCCAGAGACGCTCCGACGCGCCGTAACCAGGGACGCGCGCCCGCCGTAGCCAGGGACGCGCGCTCCCCCCCTCTTCCTCGCTCAAGCGCGAACCGCGCTCCCCCTCGCCCCGCCGCCCCCTCGCCATACCCTCCGTCCGCTCCCCCCTCGCCCCGCCGCCCCCTCGCCCTCCCGCCGCCGCGTGACGTCACGACCCTCCGTTTACCCACCCGACGGCGAGCGGCTCCCCTCGCCCTACCTACCCCCCTGCTCACCCGCGCCGCCGTCACCCTGCCCCTCAGATATCTTTCTATCTCTCTCGCTCTACGAGACCTCTCTCTCGCACCCGTGGAAAAAGTGGGTTAGAATCGACCTATTCTCCCTACTCGCATGTCGACTTACTGTCTATTCAAGTAATTTTTCGAATTATCGTCCGCCATATTGGATCCGCCATATTGAATTTTGAAAATCTGATTTCAGATTCGGATTCAGCGACTTCAAAAACCAATATATTAAAAAGATCGAACAGTTCAAAAATATAGTTTCACAAGGTGTTTCATGCGCAATGTCAAACAAACGCGGCAATATAGGGGTTGTTTACCCCCCAAATATTTATATCAATAAAACAAATAAATACGTGTTCCTTAATTAGCTTTCCTTTTAAAGTTTTAATAGATTTCACTTCGATTAGATCAAAACTGATTTTTTGCAGCAAAAAATTGATCATTTTAGGGATAATTGGCCCCCTAATTTTCACTCCCCCTCCAATATACCTAGGCCAATTTTCGTCTTCTATCAAAAGATACTTTCATACCAAAAATCATTAAAATCGCTTCACTGATCTCAAAGATATCGCAATTTTTCCATTTTATCCCCTATTTTGGGGGTGTCGTTTCACCCCCTAAATATGTTTTTCCGCAGCTAAAAAAAAAATACGTGTCCCTTAGTTTTTCATGTATTATAACATATCCAAATTTCAGAAAAATCGGAAAGTGACACTTCCGTAGGTTTACTTGTCAGTAAAGCCCGCAAACAGGTCAAATAATCGGCCGCGATTTCATATTCCCCCTGTGTCCACCTGAAAATTTCATCGCGAAGAGCGTATTGATAATCGGGATCCCCGAATCGGCTCCTCCATGCCGCCTCACTTGCAGTCCCGCCAGTTCCCGCTTTCTAATCGCACCCAATACAACGCGATTTCCAATAAGAAGAGAGGTAGGCACTTAAAAGGTCGGCGTCTGAGATAGGGACTATCGCGCGAGCCTCCTTAATTCTTAATAGGAAGGCTTCCGCGTCTTTACCCCGTTTTCCTGAGAAATGGAGATTCCATTTTCTCATTAAATTATAAGCCTCCGCCGTTGAAGCCCTCCCCGCACGGGAACTCGCGTGTGACGCGGCCGCGGGCTCGCGTTGGAGCGGACGGTACCCGCTATCTCGCGTTATGTCGTCCCGCTTTACCTCCTGTCCCCCCAAGGGTGGTGTGCCCCGCCGGTCGGGCATGGCACCCTCCCCTAAGAGGTCTCGCGCCCCCGCACCATCTTGCTCCTCTACGGACATCGTCTCTTCCCCCTCTTCGGTTTCCCCGCTACCTCGCGTCTCGTATCGGAGGAGTCGTGCCCGCAAAACCGGCAATATCCCCCGGGCACTCAATCCTCGATCCAACAAATGTCGACGCGCCTGACCGATGCTTAACCCCTGTATCCACTGATGTGGATCGCTATCCTTCCTCATAGAGACACGAGAGACTTACTAATTAACGGAAGTCAAAAATAAAAAAAAAATTTTTTTAAATCGAAATAATACGACAAAAGGACGGATTCAAAATCAAAACGGTACGGTAAAGAGAAAAGGGAAATGACACAAAAAAAATTTTTTAAATAAAGAATAATACGGTAAAAGTAAAAGAACTTCCAAAGTCAAGATAACGCGATAGAAGGAGGTAAACAAAAAAATCAAAAATAAAAGAGTTCAAAAAGCCAAACAATACGGCGGCGAAAATCAAAATAATATGGCCAAGAAGAAAGAAGTTCGGAAATCAAAATAATACAGCAAAAGGGAAAAAAATTCAAATATCAAAACAGCACGGTAACAAAAAGAAATTCGAAATAATACTGTAAAAAAAAAAAAAATTTTAAATCAAAGCAGTGCGATAAAGAAACAGAAGAAGAAAGATAATAATAACAGTACGGAAGAGAAAATTCAAAAGTCCAAACAAAGAAGTTCAAAAATCAAAACAATAACATATAAGGAAAAGGGAATTCAAAATCGCCAAACAATACGGTAGGAGGAAAGATAAAAAAAAACAATAATAGAGCCAATAATAATAACGGTAGAGCAAAACAAAATAAAATTTAAAAGTTCCAATGATACGGGAAACGCGAAAAGCCTAAAGATCATAACACACAAAAAAAATTTAAAAAAATTGAAACAAGTCTCTCTCGTTGTCGACAAAGGAACAGTCACGCGGCCTGCAATAATATTATTACTTTGTTCCCTTCGATTTCTAACAAAGAGCCACCAACGGTATGAAAAAAATCGTAAAAAAAAATTAAATTTCAAAATAATCCTCACCACACAAGACTATCGGGCTAACGCTAAATAACGGTAATGCGATAAAAAAAATTAAATTTTCGGCAATGTCAAGAACAACAATCGAACGGTATACGACCTAAATTCCAAACGAAAGAGAGAAGAAGAAAGAAAAAATAAAATCTTCACCACATAAGGTTATCGAGATAGCAATAAATGTCAGAAAGTCAATAATTCAAATTATCGGTAACATTAAAAACGGTAATCAAACGGTAGGTGACCTCAATTCGAAAACGAAAAAAAAACGCAAGTAAATCCTATGCAATTTTAAACGTTAATTCGGTAATCTTATACGCAAAGCACACAAATTCCAGGCCGCTTTAGGGCCTTCAATAATTCTTAACTTACCCCAACCAGACGGTACGTTCGGTACAGGACACCATAAAAAAAAATAAAAAAAAAACCACTGCTAAAAAATATTCTAACGACACAGACACATTAACGAAGCACAACACTTAATTGTCGAGTTTCCTTTTTCACCTTAAAAGGTGCGCCAAAGAAAAGAAAAACTCTCTCTCTCTCTCTCTCTCTAGCTCTCTCAAAAAAAAATTATTATTTTATACGGTATCTTGAGTTTCACACGGCGTCGGACCCCACGTTGGGCGCCAAAATCTTTGCGACGCCGTTGCCCGCCTCGAGAACGCCGATCTCGAGGAGGCGCGCAAGGTCTTGGCCGGTATAAAAATTAGATTATCAAAATTCAGTAAGGTATCTGAAAAACGGTATCGTGCGGTAACTGAAAATGCGGTAACTTATAATACGGTAACTTATGTAATTGGGCGCCAGGCGCGGTATTTCCGCGCCACGATAACGATACGGTAACGGCAAGATCCGGTAACCCCGGGCTCAGTATTTGGCAGAGGGACAGAGTTCTTTGTGGATTAAATATCGAGAGAGAACGCTAGACAGTATTTAGGAGAGAGAAATAATCGACATCCAGTTATTTTACTTATAATTATTCACATATATTAAACAATAATGGTACAGATAGTAAACGGCATAACAGAGATAAGATTAATATAACAGAGAATATTCAGTACATGACAACAAGAAAAAAAACAGACGGGAAAAACGATAAATTCCAGAACATACTAATCGAACAGCTGAAATTGCGAGACAAAGGATTCACCGTTTATAACGGCTGACGCGAAGATCGAGAGCAATAATAACGATAACGAATTTCAAAAGATATTATTTAGACGACAATAGGAGCGATACGGAACGAATATAATTTTTTCCTGCAATATCCACGGTAGTTAAAGGTAACTAAATGCGAGAGAAGATTTAAGATCAGACTACAGCACACGCGTGCAATTCTAGAACACACCTGGAGGCATAAGTCTCTGGTACAGTTTCGATATCACTCGAATTAAACTTTATGTGATAATTGACGGTAACTTCTTCGGCAGAAAATTAACGACGGCTAATAATGACCGATGTATAACAACTGGATATAATCTCAGTATAAATTTAACGGCATACGTATCTTACTCAACTTCGATATATCTCGAATCGAATTTTCGGTACGGTACTCGGCGATAATATTTCACGATATATTTTTGGCAGAAAACAAAGGCTTTGGTAAACGGTAGCGGTAATGATGTTTATGCGGAACTTTTTGCTTTATTTAACGGTCTTATCGCGACCTTGTATACTCGGCAACAGAGACTTGAAGTTCGAACAATAGAATAATCGATAACGGAAAGAGGATTCAGCGGAGATTTCGCGTTGACAAATATTCTTGCAGAGCCGTTCGTTTCATTTACGATAACACACGCTCGCGGAGAAATTTTTCGCACAAATCCCGCCTTTCGATACGCGATACGAAACGACCAAAATTGCCACGTCACGCTAGAACTTCAATTTCGGCACGTAACATAACGGTAACATATACGCTTAATATGATACGAAACAATCTTTAACGATAATAAACGGTACAAAATCTCACGGTACGGCACGAGACTGTCGGCACGAACCCCCTGAGAGGAACAAATCCGCGACACCCGGGGACAGCTGGCGTCCGGCAATTACGGTACAAGTACAAATACTTTACGCGATAATCTTTACGGAATATTCGTCGCCCTGCGACGGTATCTCTAAATCAAGACGCCAACTGATCCCAAATGAACAATAATTATGCTACTTGTGCGGCGGCTTACAATGATCGCTGTCGACGGCTTCCTTCGGGGTCGCTTCCTCTGGGCTCTTCAGGACGTGTGTACGTGGCACGAGCTCACCGAACAGTGTTTGATCTCATCTGCGTCCGTGAGGCCCTCAGATCCCGCGCCGATATTCCGCGCATTCTATCAATTTTCGGATGAACGGGGGTTGATTCTCCGCCCCCTTCAGAATCACAGCTGTTGGACGGCGTTGCCCTTACGCAGGAGCCCAGGATCCACGGGCGACAGTGTCCGACGGTATTTCGGCTTCTTGGGGACAGGACCGGCTGGCCAGACTGTATCCTCGTCTTTTTCAGGATCCTCTTCCTTTCCCAGTCGGCCGCCTGCGAGGGTGTTTTTAGCCCCGTTGTGAGGATTTTCTGCCGTCTTTTAGTCTGAAAATTGCCTGGATTAATACAGTTTCGGTATATGATTGGCGGCGGCGCGGGATCTCGGTACCTGACTTTTTGCTTCCTGCGATAGCTTCGGTATTCTCTGCGGTATATCCGGTATCTTTCTATACGGCTCACTCTTCTTTCGGTATCTTGCTGTATCTTCATGTACAAAGGAGATGACGCACGCTCGCACAGCAGCCGCACTTTATTCGCGGATCTTACATTAAAGCTAAAGTAAATCTAAACAATCAGATTATATTTATTTCAAGTTCCCTCTCAGGCGCGAGGAACGTCCCGCGCACGCTGTTCCTCCTCGACAGGGCAATTGTGACGGAGCTCAAAAAACGTCACGCCACAATATTTAATAAATATAACATTACCCTCGAAAAGCGAACTCTGAAGCAGCCTCGTGTAAGGCGTCAAATATTATATACATATACATATACATATACATGTATATATATATATATATATATATTGTAAGAAAAACTGTAGCACAAAATGGCAACGGGATAAGAGAAAATACCGTTGATAAACTAAACGAATGTGGTTTTTATTCTGCGTTATCGTCGTGACGTGTTTCTACAGTACTGCTCGTTGAGCGAGAGCTTCCAGCATACCACGTGCGCAGGACACTAGCGTGCATGTCCTATCCCCTCCACTCGGTATCATCGTGGCGGGGCGATATCGTAGGTCTTATGTATCGCCATCGATTCGGGCCCCGCGCTAATCATTACAGGCCCGTAGCAATTTTCTTACAATATATATATATATATATATATATATATATATATATATACAGGGTGGGGCATTTATCTTGAGACATCGAAATATCTCGTAAAGTCTAAAAGATACGAAAAAATGTTTCAGACAAAAATTGTATGGTTTCAATGGGGACATAAGATGGTGTCATTAGTTTGATGTTGAAGAGCCATCTGAAGGTCACATAAAGGTCATCTCCAACTTTTTAAATGGGACACCCTATATGTTTTTGCATATTCCTGTAGCTCATCTCAAGAGCTTTCCAAAACACTATAATTAAGTTAGTTTTCATTAAGTACTTTCCAAGTTATGAGGCTTGAAATCATTTTTTAATTTTACATAAACCGTAAAATATCTTGTAAAATATTCATTTTTCAATTATTATACCTTATTACTTTTATGTACAAAATAATGAGAGGAATCAATTGGTGTAAAGAAAAGACATAGTTATTTTTAAGAAAAAATATGTAATTGTTAATTGCAAATTACATTTTTTTTTTCGAAACAACTATGAGTTTTCTTTACACCAATTGATTCTTCTCGTTATTTTGTACATAAAAGTATTAAGGTAAAATAATCGAAAAATGAATATTTTACAAGATATTTTACGGTTTATGTAAAATTAAAAAATGATTTCAAGCCTCATAACTTGGATAGTACTTAATGAAAACTAACTTAATTATAGTGTTTTGGAAAGCTCTTCAGATGAGCTACAAGAATATGCAAAAGCATATAGGGTATCCCATTTAAAAAGTTGGAGCTGACCTTCGCGTGACCTTCAGGTGGCTCTTCAAGATCAAAGTAATGACTCCATCTTATGTCCTCCTTGAAACCATACAACTTTTGTCTGAAACATTTTTTCATATTTTTTGAACTTTACGAGATATTCAGGTGCGTCGATTAAAATGGGCCACGGTGTGTGTGTGTGTGTTTGTGTGTGTGTGTGTGTGTGTGTGTGTCTAAAAACAACATGCTTTCGTAAATATACATGAAAGCGAGACAAAGCAAAACATTCACAATTTCTTTTATTAACACTGTTGACCGCTGTTACACATGTGATATATGTGCGGCCGTTAAAATATTAATATTTATATGTTACGTCCAGGCCCGAGGAAGGATGGGCCGAAGGAAGGGCGTAACACGTGTATCCCGAGAACAGGTGCCTTAAGGGCAAGTGTCTCGGGTCGAGCGAGCTTGCGGGTGAGCCAAAGATATAGGTCAACGACCACAAGAGTCGATTTTACGCTATTTCTGGTCCAAATGCCCGCTCGTCGGTCCCCTTTTCGGTAAAGGAACTTAATCCTTTTTACCCGGGACGGGACCAAGTGCGATTCAGGAGCGTGGGTAACGAGGGGGGGGGAATGAATTGATTAAGTTGAAAGAAATAAAATTAATTAAATTTATTGTACATTTCAAAAAGATAAAATTTACATAAACATTTTAATTATTTGTTATTCTAGCACAATATTAAGTGTGATTGTCTGTATGTTTGTGGGTACATTAAGCATGATTGTGTGTGTATGTGAGACGGGGTGAGGGGGAGGAACTTTGAAGATGAAAGAAAAGACTTACTATTTGATAAACCGTGGACAACTCGAATCGAATTATCGCTGGACCCCCCTTGGCGTTGAGGATGGCGAGATTTTGATAGTTGATGAAGACGGTGGTTGCTGCTTGGCCCCCTTGGTGTAGGTTTTTGCACTGACTCGATATGAAAGTTGATGTGTCTCGAACTTTTTGAGTGCGTATATGAACGCCTGAGTCAATGAATGAATTTCTGAACGAATTTTCCTCTCGAATTTTTCTGCGTGTACGAATATTTCTGACTGTACGAATTTGTTCAGCTGTATGAATATTTCTGACTACGAATTTTTCTGACCCTGAGTTGTTCGAAGTTCGCGCTTATATATCGTTTTGGATTACCCTCTCCTAGCGTGAGGAATAAGGGAGGTTGACGAATAGAAATCTTTGTTAGATTTCCATGGCCTCCTCTCTGCCCTTACTTATGAGCATTTTAGTACAAATGTAACAAATCAGAATTTTATTACATTCGTTCGCGAATAGGAGAGCATCTTCCAAAACGGGGGATTTAGGATTCTCAGTATCGCACAAGGGATGACTGTTACTACCCTCTTGCGATATTCGGTCACTCACGTTTTATGATTAGTTTCTTTTATTTTTTGATTTTATGAGTTTTTAAGAAAATATCGAATTGTTCGACTGAATGCCGCTTTATTTAACCGGATGCTACTTTTATAGCCTGTTATCATCCGATTGTTATTTTAGGATATGTACTGAGCATCCCGCTTTAATCTAGCTATTATATTCGGCTCTAGAAATCGTGTACGTGTCCACCGGATACGGGAAAGAAAAGAATCGTAACATCCGATATCCGATCACTCGCGTTTTATGATTAGTTTTCTTTATTTTTGATTTTATGAGTTTTAAGAAAATATCAAATTTGTTTGACTGAATGCCGCTTTATTTAGCCGGATGCTACTTTTATAGCCCGTTAATATCCGATTGTTATTTTAGGTGTACTGAGAATCCTGCTTTAATTTAGCTATTATTATCGGCTCTGGAAATCGTGCACATGTGCACCGGGTACGGAAAAGAAAAGAATCGTGAATTCCCCTGGACGTAACATATAATATAAAATGTATTAATCTTTACTTACTGTAAAGGCTGTCGCCGTCGCCGTCGTCGGGGCCGATGCCGTGGCCGTCGGGGCCGATGCCGTGGCTGTCGGGGCTGTCGCCGTCGCCGTCGCCATCGTGGGTGCCGTGGTCATCGGGCCCGTTGCCATGGCCGTCGCCACCGTGGACACCGTGGCCGCCTCGGTCGTCGTCGTCGTCGTCATCGTCATCGTCGTCATTGTATGCTGTAACAATTCAATATTAACAAAGTGCATAAGCATTTATGTATTTAAAATGACATGTATAATGAGTAATTATATATATGATACTCACTAAACTCGCCGTCCTTCCTTGTCCTTCGTCCTGTACTTCCAGGCAACGAATAATCGTGAATCCGATCGCCGATAGTGGTATCAGATTCGAGATGTTACCCGCTACGCACACAAGGAAAGAGCCGTATACGTGTGCGCTCGGTCAACTTTGGGCAATAGAAGAGCGCAGACAAAGAAAGAGTCAGCGAATTATTGTCTGCGCCCTTCTATTGTCCGAAGTCGAGCGCACACGTACACGCTTCTTTCCTTGTGTGATAGCCGAAAACGCCGATCGCATAAATGTTGATGGCAAGCAAAACACAAAGATAGTCAAATAATTTCTGATATGCACATGTACGCGCGTTCTATCAAATCGCTATAAGTTATAGACAATGATAATCACACTTTATTCTTTAGTCTTAATATTGCATAAAATACAAATTGTAAATTATTTGTATAATTAATGTATAATCTAAAATATATAATAAATTATATATTTGTTGTTATCAAAAATGTTCCAATTTTTGTACAATTTAATACAACATTTTCTTAAAGGAATTTATATAATAAAAAACTTTTATTTGACTTTATCTAATTGTAAGATTTATCTGACAATAAATCTAGTACAGTTTAAGTATACAAGATTTTAGTATATAAAAAAAAAACAATTCTACTTACATCTTGCATGAGTCTTGCAACGAGTGAGACAGTCTTCCAATTCATATTTGTGTGTACAGTTATAAATGTATTACATATATATTAAATGTAAGAAGCATGTAGTATCTCGCTTTTTTAACAACAGTCTACGTTATTATATGAAGAGTATGTTAATTTTTTCTTTTTCTTTATTTAATAAATTTTTTTTAATTTTTCTATTACTTTTCGAATATAAATTATATTGTTTAACGAAAACTAATGTTTCACAAATATTTTAATATATTATAATATATTATAATATATTATAATTTAATATATTATAATCTCATTGAGATACAAAGACAGTTATATATACAGGGTGGGGAAAAAGTATGGAAGCAAACAATTATTTCCGAAACTATTCATTTTTCGACAAAATGTCTTAGACATAATTTTTATGGTATGAAAAGATGTATTATGTGGCATAGACGGCATGACCTTGAAATGACCCTTACGAGCTGCATACAAATAACGTAAAAAATTTCAAATGGAACTCGTCAGTTTTTGTTACAGATTCTTGTAGCTGATGTCGAAACGTTTACAAAACACTGCATATGAGCCCCATTCCCTTAAAAACACTCCCAGTTACGAAACAATTGTGATACAAACAATTTGTATGCACATTGACATTGCTTACTGATTTCGCATCATGACGTTCAGTTGCGTTCACTAATAACATGTAATTGTACCTGTTGTCATATGATACACTGTCTATGAGTATTCATAGAATTTTTTGGAAGATGAATAGTTTCGGAAATAATTGTTTGCTTCCATACTTTTTCCCCACCCTGTATATATATGATACATCCATGTTAAAAAAATATTAATGTGCTGTTATAGTCCGAAAGACTATAACTTATTATTTCATTATAATAGAATATATAATAGAACATTCGCGAATCGCGCAAAACCGCCATCTCAGCAAACCACGCGCGAAAACGCTCGCCGGAAACGCGAAAGACGCTAACGAAGGGATTCGACTTTGAATTTCCTTCGCTTGCATTTGGACTTTGGACGCCACGAAGAACCTCCATGACCATACATGGTCATGTCGCTAGGCGATCCTCTCCAAAACACCCCCGAAACCGAGGGAATAAAAGCCGTCCACCGCGAATCCGTGGCGGACAGTCGTTAATAGTAAACCTGTAACGATGCATTCCGGTGCATCGTTACGATTCCCGGCATGACATCCGCCGGAAGCTGCCGCCCGGCAGAACACCCGCCGGGCAGAGGCAGGGGCGCGTTGCGCCCACCTTTTTAAAACTGCCGAAATTCGAAATTCGGCCGAACATCGCCGAACAGAGTCGATGTGGCCCGAACCGTCGACCGGCGAAAGCCCGCGTTCGGCTCCTACCCGAATCCCTCCGAACGGGCCCGACCGTACCGTTTTCCGAAAACCCGTTCGGAAGGGGTTATACCGTCACGCGCCGACGCGGGCAATTAGCTCGTATAAAAAGGGCCACATTTTTGACTCTAATCACATCTCTCCGATCCGCTTGAAGCAGTACGCTTCCAAAGAGCAATCCTTGAGAAATCCTACCAAACGCACAGAAAGAGCTGAAGACAGAGGTGGAGCGTGCTCCGTCTCCGAACGAGAGTTCTCGATTCTGACGCCAAAAGTGCAATCCGCCTAATCCGCAGCTGCAACCCTCACGGAAGGTGGAGCTTGAGCCGCCCCGGATCGGGAGTTACCGATCCAGCTGCATCGCGCAATCCATCCTTCGCGAATAAAAACCAGGGCTATACGCACCGAACATCGTTGCATGCATCACATGCAATTACGTGAGCGCATCTAAAAACAGACGCATAAACACCGCCGCGTTCAAGCGCATAGGCGATCTACACGCGGACTTTAAATCGCGAAATAAATAGTACGGCGAAAATCATCGTCGATTCCGAGAACCGAAGCATTCTCGGAATCTCGGGATTCCCCGCAGAAAAAGCGCCGCAAAAACGCGCGCCGTCTCGCGCAATAGTAAACACCCGCCGGCGTGCGACAGCGAGGCCGAAATTAATCCACATTAATATTCGGTTTAATTACGCGAACCACGCAACCTGTATACGAACTTTTATGACCACGCCCGCGCTCACACACTCGTCTACACATTTACACACTCCGACTCTGTACACACTTTCATACAAACGCAATAAACACAATTATACCACACACACCGCGTATTTCATTTAAAGACACCTAGCACCGGCGATCTATCCGCGCTAAGAAAAACGTCCGGAAATACGACCGTTACAAACCAATCATTAAATAGTGCGAAACCGAGAGCTAACTGCTATACTGTGCAACGATTCACTCAAAAAATTGTTAAACGCTCTAAATCTAAAAACGAAGCGACACAGGAAAGAACGACAATAAGGAAAGAAGGCTTGTAAAGAAACCAACTAAAAATAAGATACGAGAATCTATTTGTATAAGAAAAATCTTATAATAAAAAATCGTTGTTAACTAATCCAAGGATTCGATTCGATTCTCCCGGCTACCCCACACCCCGTGCCGCGCCGGGCACAACAACTTGGTGGCAGCGCACAGTGGGCCAAAATCTCGAAAAGATGGCCAAAATATGAAAGCGTTTTTTGATTTGCATGAAATTTGATATCCTGGGGTTTTTGAGGCCGCTGATTACGAATCTGAAGTCGAAATTGCAAAAAACAAAATGGCGGATTCAATATGGCGGATACATGTACTTTAAATATGTTTAATGTAATCGAAATTTGATACCTGAGGTTTTCGAGGTCGGTAATAAAGAAAAGAAATATACATATATATAAAAAACATATACATATATATACATATATACAAAATATATATTTCGCGTACAATATAAACACATTTTTATTTTATAAACAAAAATCCAATTCAGTATCAGAATCGCAATGAGTATCAGACTCAGTGTCGGTTCCTGAAGATCCACTATCGAAACTAGTATATCTCTCATCCATAATTGCACCAGGAACTATTGGAGGTTCTAATAATTCTATGGCTTCTGGCAATAATGATTTCAGTGGTTTTTGTGATAATTTCCTTACATTAGAAATATATGAATCCGATGTGATCATCAACCGATTGAAAATGTCTTGCATTGTATTTTCTCTTGAGCATTTTCGCGAGAAATCTTCACGAAATCTTTTAATATCTTTATTTCGTGCTTTCTGAGCTTCCTCAGATAATTGCCCTATTGGAAACAAAGCAGAAGCTATAATGTCTGGCCCATGAATTAATAGTTTATGCACTGAAGTCGGCATGTAATACCATGGATATAATTCTATAAATTCCCACGCAGTTTCTAAAGCATATGCTCGAAAATTGTCATATTTAATATTATGACGACTTGAAATTGCTTGCAGAATGACATGAAACCGATTAATTAACGATTCAGAGACGCCTGTAATTGTAGCTGATATACTCGTGTTTTCAAAGAAGCGTCGAGCTGTGTTTCCATCGTTAGTGCTTCCGTAACCAGGCTTTAGTCGATCGACAATTAGTCCTAATTGTAAACGGAATCCTTTTTGAATAATTCTTTTGCAGTCTTCCATAATCTTTTTCTCCTCTTCAGTACGTGCTTGCCATTTCTTAATTTTGAGTCTATATGATAAATGCAAGCAGCATTCAAAGAGACGTATCCAGGCGTGCAATGATGAAATTCCAAATCGCAGATTAGTTTCAGTAATCTCTTTCTGCAAAATATCATTTATGTTGTTGAAATCCTTGGATGTAGCTCCACACAAATAACAACGTAAAGTAGATTTCGTATCTGTCGCATTGCAAACTTTATTGTCTATCATCGTAAACATTAACTTGTATTTTACGCAAATCTCCATTCCATGTATTTGTGTTATGAAAGGAACAAGCAACTTCACCTGTTGTTCAATGTCATTGACTTCACTGATTGTCGACTCAACATTTTCATGCAGAAACTGTAGTTTTATCGGTCTACAGAAACGAGGAGATGATGGTCTAGGGTTCTTCCAGGCAACAATTTCATTATTTGAATCATTACTGTCCTTACACACGAGCAGTAATGGTACAAGTGAAGTGAAAAACACATTATCATCTGATTTGCCATCTTCTGTAAACTTCTGCTTGTAAATACTTTGCCCAGAACTCCCGTCACAACCCCACTTACAAATAAGATGCATATTTTTTACATTTTCTACAGACAAAGTGTCCAAAACGTCCCTTTGAAGAAATAAAATACGTTCTACTGTATGATCTAATA